CCCCTCTCCTCTCTCCTCTCTCCTTCCTCTCCTCTCCCTCTCCTCTCCTCGTCTCCTTGACTACCGCACCTCAACTGTAAGCACCAAATCGCAGTGCGCACTACCGGACCTCAATGGCAAGCGCCAGATCGCAGCGGGCGCTACTGGACCTCAACAGCAAGCGTACCGGACCTCAACGACAAGTGCCATATCGCAACCACAAACACACAATCACAAACACACAGCCACAGCCACACACTCACAAACACAAATACACAAACACAAGCACAAACACAAAGACATACAAGTACACAACAACAACAACAACAACAACAACAACAACTTCTTCTTCTTCTTCTTCTTCTTCTTCTTCTTCTCACGCGCCCAGAAGGGTAGCGCAGCCTGCACTGACGTTCTGTCAGCGGACTCCTCATTGGGAGAGCTTTGTAGCGCAGCCATTGCAATGGCTGGGTTGCATCTTGAGCTTCCATCAAAATTTACTCAGCTCATGCTGAGAAAGCACAACTCAAGTGGGTCGTGCCTAGTTGGGCAAAAGTCATGACCGGTCGGTCATAGGCAGCCTCAAGTAAAGAAAAGAGCCTAGGAGAAAAACACGCTACAGTTTCTCAGAGGCGCGGTCAGCCAAGGAGCGGCAGCGCCCCGCAGCGCTCGGCAGCTTCCATCAGCGGTGAGTGGCCCCGCTGCTGGTACCAGCAGCTGCTGGTGTGGAAGGTTCCAGCGCGGCTGCAATGCGAGACAGCAGCAAGTTCCGCTGTTGCTGATCAGTGGCCTGTCCATTCTCAGGCCAAGTGGCATCCAAGGCACGAATGGAATCGGTGTCCTCAGCCTGAGTGGACCAAGATCGGCTCTGATCCTCCTCATGAAGGGTCTCAGACCTGGAGGGAGTCAAGGGGCACATGTCATCCAAGGATGGGGCCGATGAGTCCACCAGGTATGGAGCAGGGCACAACCAAATCAAGACCAGGCGGCGTTTGGCCCAATCAGGAAGCTGCCTGTGTGTCTTGGCAGGCTTACCATCGTCGAGCTCATACCAGCATTTCGGATTCCAAGCTTTGACGAAGGTGATGAAGTGTCCTGAGTTTCGGCTGCCAAGATGCACCACACCTGACACTGGCATATAGGGAAGCCAGCAAATGTCGTGAGTTCGACCATCCTCGAAGAAGGGGAGGTTCAGGGTGTCCTCAAGCTCCAGCAGGTTATTGTGGCCTAGGAGCGGAGTGAGCATCAAGGCACGATCAATGTGTACACACTTCAATGTTCCAATCGAAAGGAAGGCGGAGTGCATGGATTCTGCATAGATCCAAGGTTGAAGAAGCTGAGATAACGAGGGGGCAGGAATATCCAATTCATATACGCAGTCCAGTGAGATGGGGTACTGCCATGAACCAGCTTCAGAGCGCTCAACTTTTGATCCAGCCAGAAAGCGTCGTTCCCAAGTCATGGATACAGCCTCAGATTCAAGCCATGTTACGAGCTCTGAAACAAATTCCCCAACGTCTCGTGGCATACAGGATGAAGCGGCCTGTCGAAGAAGGTCGGGAAAGGCTAAGGCCACGCATGTCCCCGGCATGGTCTGAAGCCTGTGCAGGAAAGCTCGAACAGGCCGAATCTGAACCCCAAAGTCCTCGAGGGAAAAGTCAGGGCGACAAAGGATGGCCCAAATGGTGCAGAGCAAACCTGCGTTCGCCCAGCACCAACAGCTGTCATTCTGCAGCTGTGCCCCCAAAAGTGCTCCTCGTAGAAGATCCCTCAGTGCCGGCGGTTGCCGTGCCGGCGGGGATAGGCAAAGTCCTGCATCTCCTGTGCCACCTTGGATCTCTGCTGCGAGTGGGCTTTCAGTCGACCTGCCACCAGCATCCACACTGCCGATCCGATGAGGGATCTCATCTCGCACATCAGCGGATCGTTCCGCATGGGCGGCCAGCTGAATCTTCCAAGGTGTAACCCCTGTAGTGTTTCCCTGGCTCTTGAGCGCAAAGAACCGGATCAGGTTGGCCGGTTCCTGGAGGGCTACATGGAGTCGTTGTAATTTCTGCTCCATTTCGGTCGTGCTGATGCCCTGCGTTTGCATTGGGATCAGGCACTTCTGCTGATGGCACCATTGCAGATAGGGGATCGTGTTGTCCTCCAGGATGATCTTGGTGAGAATGCTCTGTCGGCGAAAGTCCGGGTCCGAGAGCTTGGTGCAGAAACCTTTGAATCTCCTCATCAGCTCTTCGAGCAAGGTCTGCATCAGGACTACCCTGAGAGGATTCACGGGTGTCGTTTGCTCTCGCCAGTCCTGGGCTGCTTGAATGAGGAGGTGTGTCACTCCCTGTGTCCCTTGCGTGAGGAACAGGATGCATTGGTCCTGGCATGCTAGGATGCATTGGTCCTGGCATGCTAGTGCGTTGAGGGCATCCTCGTGGCGCAAGGTCAGAACTGCCAACATCCGGCATAGTTGTGTCACCTGACCCGACGACGTCGAGTCGTCTGGAGCCGCTGTCATCGAGGAGCGGCGGGTGGATGGATCCGGATGGTTGACTTTGATCTTCTTGGCCGATGCTGACTGACGGCTGGGAGTCGGTGCGCCGGCGAGCATACCTAAGAATGTTTCCTGCAGCTGAGACATCTTGTCCTCGTCTGACACCTCCTGTTTGTGCTCGGCCATGGCTCTCAAAATCAGGACGAGTTCGAAGGTAGATCAGGGCCAAGTTCAACAGAACCCCACATTTGTGACGGAGAGCATACCAAATGGTGTTGTCAACCACATTGTAGGTGTTGCTATCTTCATTGCATGCATGGCAGGGGAATGGGTCCCTGATATGAGCCAGAAGATGCTTCCCCAAGCATTGGAGGAGTGCTTGACATTGCTGACATTCTGTGGCGTGATGTTGTTCAATGTGACGAACGAGATCATGCGGGTCAGGGAAGCTGCGATTGCACAATGCACAGTGATGTCCAAGCCCCTCACAGGTGATGGTGTCATTCAGGAGGAGAAAGGGGAGATTGTCCCGCAAGTCCTGGATCAACTTGGGCGCCTGTGCATGCAGTCGAGGGTTGACAGTTGCCATTCTGACCATAGACTCGTCTGTAATCGACCATGATGGAAAGAACTGTCTGCGATCAGGATTGATGAAAAACTCAATCATTCCCAACTGCCTCCATGCAATGCAACGGTGAGCTCGTGGCTGAGCTGGGCGCCGAGGATTGCATACGCAATCCAGGTGCTGTTCCTCTATCAGGGCAACATATTCATCGGCTGCGCGATAGAAGGGACCATGTTGCGTCTGTAAATGTCTCGTCAAATCTGCCACTCTGCTTTGCCCCAGCCCACACATACAGCAAGAAAGCGTGAATCTCAGCCGTACTTCAGGATGTTGGGGATTCAGAAGAAGGTCAGTGAGCTGGCCTGCACGAACTGCTTCTTGAATGTCGGGATCATGGCATTGAGCACCTGCAGAAGGCAGTGTTACATCAAAAACCGGGCAGGAATGACGTGAAATGTGCCGCTGGAGTTCCCATGTTTCCCTGAAGCGAGTCTTGCAGTGCGCACAAGTTGGATGGCCCATGGTCGCATCTCGAACTGAATGATAGCCATCATGATCCCTCATGTGTTCACGCAGCAGCTCAACTGTGGGGAAGTAATCTGCACAGATAATGCAAACGTGTGGTAGCGGAGCATCAATGAGTCTGTGCAGCTGTTGAGGACTACCAGAGGACTGTCCAATTCCTGGTGCATTTGCCATCTGAGAGGTCTGAGCCATGGAAGCGTCGTCTGAAACAACAACAACAACACCAACACCAACAGCAACAACAACAGCAACAGCAACAGCTACCAGCTACCAGCTACCAGCTACCAGCTACGAGCTACCACTACCACTACCACTACCACTACCACGACGACCACGACCACGACCACGACCACGACCACGACCACGACCACGACCACGACCACGACCACGACCACGACCACGACCACGACCACGACCACGAC